ATCGGGTTCCTATTGGATGTAAGTGGATTTATAAAATTAAGCATAATTCTGATGGTTCTGTTTCCAGGTACAAGGCCCGTCTTGTGGCCAAGGGCTATACACAGGAATATGGTTTGGACTACTCTGAGACCTTCAGCCCTGTGGTCAAACAGCAGACTATTCGGGTGGTTCTTTCTCTAGCGGTCAATCACAACTGGCCCCTTCATCAATTGGATGTCTCCAATGCTTTTCTTCACGGAGTCATTCCAGATGAAATTTATATGAAGCAGCCTCCAGGGTATGTAGATCAGCAGTTCCCTCACTATGTGTGCAAACTGAGAAAATCTCTTTATGGTCTGAAACAGGCACCGAGGGCCTGGTATCAACGTCTGTCAGGGTTTCTTGTTGCTTATGGCTTTGGGAAAAATGAACATGACACCAGCTTCTTTGTTAAGCATTCTCCTTCTGGCATCCTCATTGTCCTTCTCTATGTTGATGACATTATTGTCACTGGAAGTGCCTCACCTCTTATCTCCTCATTTATCGAGGCTATGCAACAGGAATTTCAAATGAAGAATCTGGGTCCTCTTCCCTACTTCCTTGGACTCGAGGTCACACGCACAAAGGATCGCCTGCTTCTGTCCCAGGAAAAATATGCCCGTGAACTCCTCCATAAAGCAGGAGTCGAAGATTGCAAACCGGCCCCCACGCCCCTACCCGTACGGCAGCCCGAGGAGGGGGTGAGCCGTCCGTTCGACAATCCCACTTTTTTCCGAAGCTTAGTTGGCTCTCTCCAATATTTGACAAACACACGTCCGGACATTCAGTTTGCTGTAAATTATGTTTGTCAAAGGATGCATGCACCCACTGAGCAGGATTTTCAGTCCTTGAAACGCATCCTCCGATATGTCAAAGGAACCATTGATCATGGTTTGGTCTTCTGGCGAGGCCCACAAACCATCCATGCATATTCTGATTCTGATTGGGCCAACGATATGACAGATGGACGGTCCGTTACAGGTTACTTGATATATTTTGGCTCGAATTTACTCTCTTGGAGTACAGAGAAACAGAGTCGTGTCTCACGCTCGTCCACCGAAGCCGAGTGTAGAGCTCTCTCGGCCGCAGCAGCTGAGGTAATGTGGCTCACCTATTTGTTTGACATTTTACAGATCAAGCTCCCTCCTCCACAGCTTCTATGCGACAACCAGTCCACCATCTGTTTGACTAAGAATCCGGTCTTTCATAAACGCATGAAACATGTCGGAACTGATTGTCACTTACATGCTCTTGTTCATTAGCTTCTCTTTTACTGCCAGAGAATACAAGGAAGTTTACTCGTCGACCGTCTGGAAGAGTGTTTTCGAGAACGGAGCGGTGCGATGTGACGTGAACAACGGTTCGAAGGAGAGCAAAGTGCCGCAAGTCGAACTCCCCCCTACAATCTGTATATACCTTTCTTCAGATCAATTAGCAGAATTATATTTATGTTAGTTTACATATTTGGTGAATCCTAGTCCATGTAGGGATCCTCACCTATATAAACATCCTTGTACACAATTATTCTTTAAGAGTGAATTCATAAATCAACAGTAAGATAGAATAAGATATGATGGATCAAAATAATAATGAATTGATATGGTTTTATACGTTGGTTAATCATGAGTAAAAGTAGAATTTAGGACCTCAGGACATTGGATAAAAAATGAGAGTGGAATAGCACATGCGAAAAAATTTACATTTCACATGTGAACTTTAGAATTACAATTGCATAACTTTAGTTGAAAGTAGAATTATTTCATACTACGTAGGAGATAACCGTTCTTAAATATGGAGTATAACTAAATGCATAAGTTATTAGCCAATTAAGGCTCTCTTCTATTCAACTTTTTCTTGTTACTAAATACTTTTTCTAATTAGAATCAGTTCTGATCAAACTAGATCAGATCAAAAACAACTTTAAATATGACTACGTCCAGATTAGATCAGATCATATCACTACTTATTGCAATAAGATCATAATCATTCAGGTCAGGCGAAGAGAACGTGAAGTATATATGTTAAACATATTTGATATGAGATTCTAAAATCCACATTTGTTTATCATTTAGACCTCTTTGATAGAATACAGATAGGCAACCATTTTTTTCTCGAATGCATATATATTTATGTAAACGGATGTGGATATTTTTAATATAAAGTGATGCGAATGCAAACGTTAATTATCTAATGTAAGATAGGGAGTATTTTTGTTTGAATTTTATTAATGAATTGCAACACTACTAGAAATCATCAGATAATTTATTTGGTTCGGAACAGGGGAGATAGTTTTGGAAGCTTCAATCCTGAGTGGAGTGGTTGTAACTGGTCTTACTCTTTACACTTTCTGGGCAACAAAGAGGGGTCTTGAATTCGAATTCCTTGGGCCATTCTTATTCAGCGCAACCTTGGTGTTGATTGGGTTCGGCTTGATTCAGGTTTTTCATTCATTAAAGTCTCGTTTTTTGACTTCGCACAACGTGGGTAAAGAGGATGTCAAGTCTGTCGATCATAAGGTCGAATCCCGGTAGCGACATGTGGGGGTTCCATTATTTATCAGGCCCCGTTTGGTGCACGGAATTCAAACTATGGAATTGGAATTGAAGACTTCAATTCCAATTCTGGTGTTTGGAAGCATAAAAATTATGTGGATTTAGAATTGATAGTGCAAAAAAATGAATTGGAATTGGTGAATTCAATTCTATGAAATTGAATCACATGAAATTTCAATTCCAATTCCATCAATTCCGTATACCAAACGGACCCTAATAGTTTCTTGTACGCATCGGGCATGGGACGACCTCTCTAAAGATCAGATTGAGATTATTACATCATAACTTACCTCCTCCTCCTCTCACAATCATGTCGGGTCGGAGTGTGCTGGCGCCCAGGGTGGGCGTTCCACCATTAAAGTCCCGTTTTTTTTTACTTTGGGACATATTAATGTCATAATGTAATTGAAAAGATGGAAAATGTCCTAAACACTATGCACCAAACTAACTTTGATGTGGCAGGCATTTTGGCCATTGGGTAGGCTTTCAAGGATGATATACTCGGGATTGTCAGCGATACTGTACTGTGGGTACATCATATACGACACATATAAGCTCATCAAGCGTTGCAGTTATGATGAATACATATGGGCCGTTGTTTCATTATACATTGATGTTGTGGGCCTCTTCCTCGGTTTCCTGGGCATTGGCAACAACATTTAAGTGCCAGCATTAGCCTTTTGAAAAGATTATCTAATCCGAAACAAGACCAAAGTTGTTGGTGTAAACAATTTTTTTTTGTTATATGGAGTAGATAACATGTGTCTACGTATTCCTTATTTCGAATTATTTTTACAATCTTATTGCTCGATAAACAAGCTTAATTTTCAATATATATGTTGTTTTTAGTTGTCAAATCACGAAAGGCAAAGACAAATACGATACTCATCCGAGCATCTGATTATTGCTGATATTATAGATCTTAAAACTCTTAAAAAACAAGTGATAACATGAGTATATTTTTTATAAATGATGACATTAAAATATTCACAAGATTAAAATTTATTTACCATTTTTTAACTTATTTTTATTACTCATTTGATAAAATATTATAATTCATGTTATCATCACTTGTTTTGTACTGTAGATCTTTTGATATAGTCGTAATTTTTAATTAAGTAATTTTTATTTTTTAATTCCACCTCAATTCTCAAATAAATAGAATTAAAAATAAATGTAGACAAACATCGTAAAATAAAATAAATGATTTAATTTGGGGTGAAAGGAGCAACCAGGAAATCACAATACCATGTTTGGGAACAAACTGGGGATCAGAATAGCAGGGTTGTGTTGGATACGTTCAAGGACAAAATACGAGTAATAAAAAAAAAAGTCAGAGTTACTAAGAGTAAGCTATGAGTAAATTCAAATGCAACTTAAGTGCCATTTGGTAGGGAGCTTATTTTACTAAATGCATAGATCAACTCATAGGCTCATGAAATAAAGAAATTTAATACCAGAGTTTGACACCATTGATGATACCATGCTCACAGACATGCATAGACAACGACTGTCTATGCGGGTTCATACAATGGTTCAGCGAGACACAATAGTGTCACTAATGGTGTCAAATTTGGCGTCGCTATAGCATTGCCCGTGAAATTGACAGCATACGGAGTGGTATAAGAAAAACCCGTCACCCACATGAATTCAAAATAATGGGAGCATCAAGAAGAGAGCATAAGCCATTTAAATTATCGGGAACGCAGTTCTTTCCACAGTAATTTTTAAAGCATAACCAGAAACCTCATATATACACTAGACCCACACAGAGAACCATTTGGCTTAGAGGGCAAAGTGGAAATGTCCAGTTGTCAGGAATGATGTGCTACAAAAATGCAAAAATCAAACAAGCCATTTCTAACTCAACATTATGTGGGAGCCTGCGTAGCTAGATGTTTTGTTTGCATATCAAGAAGATGGATCTACATATTTACCTAATACATATAACATAATGCATCCAAAAAACCCATTACTTGGGGGAAATTCATGCCCCTGTGTGTATTTCTTGTCACGTCTACCTAATGCGAAAGTCGAAATGGAACTTACATATGATTTGGTTCTCATGGCACGAGGACATATTACAATTGCCAGTGTCTCCTCCCTACCTACGTCAACCTCCCTTCCATAGTTCGCTCCGTGTTATCTAAAAAGCCAATGAAGACAACAATTTTACCACTAGTGCTCCTTTTTGTTAAAATGACAAAGATGAGCTTGAATGCAATTTTACAAGGATTAACAAATACTCGTGAGATCCATGGTTGTTAACAAGGTAGTTGATATAAATAATTTCACTTTTACCCCCATTGAAAGGTTAGTTAATGAATCACTTCTCTTGAAATTCTAGAGCTGAATATTTGAACAGGTGTAAACTAAAAAGGGAAAGTTATATGCACGTTGAAGAATGACTAATTTCTATGATTAATGATGGAGGGCTAAGCCTCGTATATACAGTACAAAGGAATCCTAACTACGGAAGGAATCCTATACAAGGCAACTACCATATTAACAATGATTACAACATTAATATTAAATATATACATACTATATTTAACATGCGCCCAACTACGTGACTGGTGACGGTCGAACACCGAGACTGTGTCTGAATTCGGAAAATATGAGAGACGGGAGCCCTTTGGTGAAGATATCAGCATACTGAGAGGAGGAGGGAACATGCAGAGCTCGAACATGACCAAGGGCAACTTTGTCTCTGACAAAATGAATGTCGACCTCAACATGTTTGGTGCGCTGATGCTGGACGGGATTAGACGAAAGGTATACAGCACTGACATTGTCACAGAACACCAGTGTAGCACGTCGGAGAGGTTGATGAAGCTCAAGGAGAAGATTTCTGACCCAGCTAGTCTCTGCTACTGCATTTGCTACGGCACGGTATTCTGCCTCAGCACTAGAGCGAGAAGTGGTGGCCTGTCTCTTGGAGGACCAAGAGATGAGATTGTCCCCAAGGAAGACACAATACCCAGATGTGGAGCGGCGAGTGTCAGGGCAGCCTGCCCAATCAGCATCCGAATAGGCCTGTAAAGAATCTGTGCTGGTGCAGTGGAGAGTGATGCCATGGGTAGCCGTGCCGTGGATGTAGCGCAGGACCCTCTTCATAGCTGTGAGATGAGAGCTGCGGGGGGCATGGAGATGAAGACAGAGCTGCTGTACGGCATAGGTGAGATCAGGCCGGGTGAACGTCAGATACTGCAAGGCTCCAACAATGGATCTGTAGATGGTGGGATCCGGAAGGGGTGTGCCGGACGTGGCTGACAGCTTCGCCTTAGTATCAACCGGTGTGGAAATAGGCTTGCAGTGAAGCATGTCAGCCCGCTCAAGGATCTCGTGTGCAAACTGTGTCTGGTGGAGGAAAAGGCCCCCAGCAGTGCGTTGGACATTAATGCCCAGGAAGAAGTTGAGATCCCCCATATCTGTCATGGCAAACTCCCCCTTAAGCTGCTGGGTCAGGCATGTGAGAAGAGCGGTGGAGGAGGCCGTGAGAACAATGTCGTCCACATACAGTAGAAGGTAGGCCATGTCAGCTCCCCGAGAGTAGACAAAGAGAGATGTGTCGCTCTTACAGCCACGGAACCCCAAAGTGAGAAGAAAACCTGCAAATCGCTGGTACCAAGAACGGGGGGCTTGCTTGAGGCCATAGAGGGCCTTCTTCAACCTGCAAACATAATTCGGCCGGGCTGGATCCTGAAAGCCAGAGGCTGGCTCGCATAGACTGTCTCATGAAGTGTGCCATTCAAGAAAGCATTCTTGACGTCTAGCTGATGAATGGACCATCCCCGGCTGAGTGCAAGAGTGAGAACAATACGTACCGTGGCAGGTTTGACAACGGGACTGAAAGTCTCGTCGTAGTCGATTCCAAAGCGCTGATTAAATCCACGAACCACCCAACGAGCTTTGTACCTGGACAGTTCACCTGTAGGGCCAAATTTGTGGCGGAAAAGCCATTTGCCGGCGATAATATTTTGGGAAGGGGAGGGGGGCACTAATTCCCATGTTTCATTTTTAATCAAAGCATTAAATTCATCACACATAGCATTGTACCAGTTTTGGTCCTTGAGTGCACTACGGTAGGTGGGTGGGAGTGGGGATATTTGGGCCATGGAGTTAAGGTTAAGGATGTGTTTGGGTTTGGATATGCCGACCTTGGACCGGGTTACCATGGGGTGGGTATT